GTTGTCGAATGTGACTTTGAGGGGTTTGAGATAGTACCTGTGGAGTCTGTAGTCAACGAGATTGTGTCTTTGGCCAAGATCATGGGGCTGGAGGTGGATAACAGTGATATCGATGAGCTTGTGGAAGAGCACAGCCAGGATCTAACCACCGAAGACCTTATGGAGTTGCATTGTGTTTCACAGCAAGAAGTTGTGGGGGAGAGTTTGTCAGAGGAGGAGGAGGAAGAAACAGCAAAGCAACAATCTTCTGGTGCAATAAGAGAAATGCTGAAAGCATGGGAAATTGTTGCATCGTACATTGAAAAGCATCACCCTAATAAGGCAGTGGCTATGCGCGCTACAAATTTATTTAATGATAATGCTGTTTCGCATTTTCACCAAATTTTGAAGCGTCGGCAGAAAAAAAAGTCTCTAGACAGCTTTCTAGTAAAAAAGAATTAGATATTTATCATAAAAATAAACTAATTATTTCGATTTTGTTTTTCTGCAAATCGTTTCAAATTCCAGGTTGATTCATTCCGCATAGAAGAAAAGATGAAGATGATTCACGCTCCTTAACAATGTATATGTAATTTTCTTTGAATAAACGTTATACATAAAATTTTCTGAGTATTTTTTTCGGCATGGAACGCATTATCGTATTTTACATTAATTTATATGGGAAAAATTGTCTCGCTTAACGAGTGTTTCGCATTACGAGTAAGATTCTGGAACGAATTATGCTCTTTAAGCGAGGCTCCACTGTATATGTAAATACTGGCAATGGACTTACTAATACAGACTATGATTGACAAATGACAGACCCGACTTCTCGTCAGAGAAGGCGCCCCACATGGACAAGACAGTAACTTTCTTTTAAGAAGAAACATCATCCGATCACGAGCCAAAATCACCATACTGACAATTTCATTGAACATACACGTTTCCCGCTCAAGGTAGGAAATATCCCCAAAGATATTCGGGCAACAGTAGCCAGGGCTGTTAATAACTGTGCACAAAACAACCATTTCCCGGGCTAAGATCCGGGACTTCTGCTCGCGTACTATAAAGCTGACTAGAATTGCAGACTGGCAGTGATCCATGAACTGCTGAGTGAGAAACAGTAACTGGGCTTACATAACTGATGAATCGGGAGCCAGGATAGCGCAGTCAGTATAGCGAGTCCCCGTAGGATAAAAATATATTCAATTCCCCACGTCATCCAGACCGGCTCTGGGTTTCACCCAAACTCCTATTCAATTCGTACCGAGTGTAATGCGGCCGGAGCTTGAAGCTGACCACTCACTTCCAATTAGTGGCGAGGTCAAGAAAATGTGGACCCGTATATCCCCTCCCCCATACGCCTTCATGGTGTAGTGCTTAATTATTTAAGCACAGAGAAAACTTTACATTACCCTGTGCCGTTTATGAGACACCCCGGGAATTTGCCTGGAACCACTGAGGAAACCAATGAAAATTCTAACTAGTTATTTTCCAAGTGCGAATCGTATGCATTCAAGCCAAGCCATTTTTCTGGAACTTCCGTCCTAAGTGTCCTGTAGTAACAAGGTGCATCGCTGTCTCTTGAAACACTTGAAACACTTCCTCTGCAATATTTGCTAAAGACCACTGGTATAATGCCTGTTGAGAAATTAGCGGTGAGTCTCATCATTTCTATACATTCTCATTCTATTAATTTTCCCTGCTGTCTCTCCTATTCCTTCCTAGTCCTACATGTTATCGAGTGTTACGCTGAGGCCGACATTTATGTCTATACTCGAAGAACAACGCAGAAATAGCTGTGAAACTTTGCCATTGTATATATATACATTTTGCATACCCTCATCAAAATATCAGTACCGACAGAACAGACGAGATGTTCTGAAAACAGAAAACTGCTGGCTCGTGAACTATTACATCGTTTGTGTTCGTGCTATGTGCTGACGCTCCAAAAAAATTTTTCGGTAGCCAGAAATTGCGATGTTACTTTAGAAGCCTTTTAGTGTGGCTTATTTAACAACACCTTCAGCAACGAAACTGTGTGGCATCACATGGTAGTGCGTAGATGTACAGGCAAGGATTTTAAAGGGAGCAGTCATGATCTGATCGAGGTATTATCCCGACATTCGCATGGAATGGCTGAGAAGAAGCACGAGAAACTGTGCCCCGGCCGAGATTCGAACAGATCACCTTCCGAACACAAGTGGAGATCCTTACTTCTAGCCCAACCTATTCGACAAACCTTGACTCACGATCTGCGATATTGTAAATGCCATATAATAATAATAATAATAATACATTAACGGTAAAGATGTCCCTGTAACAGGCCATGAAGACCCATAGGGTTATGAGATGTCGAGGCTTCCACATTTTCTAGACAATCGGCTCACAGATGGCGGTCAAGCCGTCAGCCTTACACACTGGCCGCCCTTTGTCCTCAGAAAGGTCCCTGGTACTCATTTCTGTTAGAGGCTCAGTCGAACACTGGGCCATGGTGCAGATGGAAGGAATAGGTCAATTGAAAAATCCCATGACATTGGGAATCGAACCCGCTACCTTCTGGCTTGTAGCATAGTGCCCAAACCAACTACGCTACCGCATGCCCCATAATAATGATGATGATGATGATGATAATAATAATAATCTGTATATAAGGTGTTTGAGATTGTGTGTATGAATGAATGTGATTAGTTATCTTTTATTTGTATCAACTACTGATATCATGAAAGAAATATATGATTCATTTTGTGCTTATTCTTTATGTTGTGACCTTATCTACTATGAGGAAAATAAATAGATTAAAAAATGCCGTACTTTTACCCACATGTTTTGCATGACTGTGAAACAACTCGTACACAGAGAAGATCCCGAATTGTAGCTGCTTTAAAACGAAGTGGCAAAGAAGTCACTGTAAGGTAGAATAGGAATGACGTCTGCAGGAACAAAGATAATTGCATAATAAACATTCTGGCACTGATTCACTGATACACTTATTGTGCCGGTAGATGAATCGTTATGATTACAATAGGCTGGAACAGACAGTTCCGATTGGGAAAATGTTCACAGAATTTTTTGTTGGTAACTTAAGTAGCAGATACTCAAATTAAAAAAAAAAACGAGAGGATGGGAATATAATATTGAAACAGATTTTAAGAAAATTAAGGAAATTAATGGCAGTGGGTCAAAGTAATGTGCAGAGTGCTTGTTATGCAGCAAAGGGTTACGTACATGTAGAAGTAGTTTTGGGTAAATTTGGAATCACTACAATTAGATGTAAGATGGAAAAAAAACACAAAAAAAAAACTAAACTAAACTGAATAGTAATAAGGACATGAACCGGAGAGCTGGGTTTACAAGGAAGTAAAAGAAATTCCTGACTAATCAGAATGTTAACACGACAGCGGGAACCGCTGACAATACGGAAGGGCTATATGAAATGTGTCATAAGCACTAAGGCAGACGAAAAATGCTGAGTAGGAGGAGGCGGCTTACCAAAAGAGTCAACCCCTTCTCGATTAACAACCAATAAACAAGCTCCACCGACCCAAAATCACGTCAGGGTAGGAGGACCCCTATACCCGGAAGACAACGAGTCAGCATAGCAGAGGTTATAAAAACCCGAGACGACCCATTTTAGGGGCTCTTTTTAGCTTTTTAGCTTCTTAGCTTTTTTTGGCTATTCGATTCGATTCTAGTCGGATCTATTTTTATTAATGTCATTATTACATTAGTACCTCAATTGTGGCCATGAGTGGACGCTGGGTCGTGATGACAAGCCTTCTCATCTTCAGCTCAAGTAAGTGGAACCATTTCATATAGCCATGATCATGAAGTGCAAAGTGTAAAGTGTAAAGTGTAACCCGGGAGAGATAGGCTAACCAGATGGGTTAGGTCATTCAGTGATTCCAAGCATAGAATACCGACAGCAGGGTGATAGGTGGTGGACATGATGAGACACTGCAAGATTATTTTAATGTAAGTCGAACCGACAAACGTCGGCACGGTGTATATAGTGTATTTAAAGACGTAGGTAAATAGAATAGGCTAGGAATGTGACGAGTTTCATTCAACCTCACATATCCACGAGTGTTATCCTCTTCCTCCGACTCCAGGACGTCCCAAAGCTTCGGCGATTTACGGTTACCCCAGACAGTAATGCAAGCTAAGAGAAGTACGAGATTTCTTGAATTAACAAGATGGTGGCAGCCTACTAATTAGGGTGACGGAGAGGGATCTTTCCTCGTCCTCCGTCATCCCGGCAGGAGATAAGTGTAGCGGGAGCTAGAGAGAGAGAGAGGTACAGTGGCGGAAGCGGTGGAGGTACCTCCACGTCCCCCCCCGTCACGCCGCAACAGTGCTTAATGTGGGTTAGTTTTGTAGTCACTGAGTTAGTTTTCTGTTAGTGAGTCTAATAGTTACTGTGTGTTGCTCGTATTACTTGCGAGGTACGAGGAGGAAGCCGATGTTGGTGGGTAAAGTTGTGAAGTGCGATAACACCACACTAGACAATATGTCTACACAGAAGTGATTCTGTGACCATTTCATACTCTTGCTACAAACATGTGAATGAAACTGAATACTGGAGAACATAATATACGAGGGGGTACCCAAAAGAAACCGAACTTATTTTTTTTAAACTTATTTATTCAAATTTTAAGTACAAACCTTCAATCCCCTTCAAAGTACTCTCCACTTATACTAATACACTTGTCTAGTCTTTTATTCCATTTTTCAAAACATTGTCTAAATTCATCTTTTGAGATGCTTGACAGCGCCTCCATCGTTTTTTCCTTTCATGTCTCTTTTCATTCGAGGAAACAAAAAAAAATCGCACGGGGCAAGGTCGGGTGAGTATGGAGGGTGAGGAACAGGGGTCATACCATTTTTGGTCAAGAATTGTCGTACAGACAGGGCTGTGTGAGCAGGGGCATTGTCATGATGGAAAAACCAGTCACCCGACTGCTACAAATCTGGCCGCTGAGCTCCAAGTCACTCCCGACAGCTCCACAATTTCTTCAATGGTCCGTCGTCGATCTTCCTTGATGATTTCACGAATTTTTTCAACATTTTCATGTGTTCGGGCCGTGGAAGGACGACCAGAACGAGGTTTGTCATCAATTGACATTTCACCATTTTTGAAACGGGAAAACCACTCAAACACTTGAGTTTTCCCCATAGCATCGTCCTTGTACGCCGTTTTTAACATTTCAAGAATTTCTGTTCCACTTTTCCCGAGCAAAAAGCGGAATTTCACCACCGCACGCTGTTCACGAAAATCAGCCATTGCAAAAACGACGATCACACAAAACAGTTGTCACTATGAACTCTGCCGAAACTAGTCCTTACCTTCTGAAGCAACGGTAGTCGGCTTATCGACTCAGGAATGTTAGCTCTATGGGCTCATAGCGGCAAAACGCGGTACTACAAAAGCTCTGCCCACAAAAAAAAATTAGTTCGGTTTCTTTTGGGTACCCCATCGTACATGAAAGTCATTTAGTTTCCTCAGAGTCACTAGCAGAGAAATGCTGCACTTACTGAATGACTGTTAGCTTTTGATGAAGGATATTGTTAAGTTGGTCAGTCAGTGAGCGGGCGAGGGAATTTGTTTGTTTAGTTGGTTGGTCAGGAAAACATTTCTTTGTAAAGAAGAAAATTTTTACAAAGCAGCTGTTACCAGTCTGATGCAATGTAAACCATCTGTAATGTTATCTGTCATTGAGAGCGCATAGATGTGATTCAATGGGGTGCAGTGATTTTTACAGATCTGTACTGTCTTATTGAAAAAATATACCTGGTCCATCCAGTGAGATGTGTAATTGGGCCATGAATGTAAAAGTTGATGAGAACAATCCTTTTGGGATGCCATTTCTGGCACTGAAGGCTGAACTTGGGGTGAGTTCATGTGTCAGTCACATTTCATTTATATATGCATAACTGTACTGGCTTTCTGGACTCTGTCTGTCTTTACATGAAGCAACTCCTTTCAGGTGAATTTTCTGTCTTTTCCAAAATTTCCGGAAAGGGAGTTTTATTTTGTTGCATAATGGGCGCATTGTTCCTTAAGGCAGTGTTAAGAAATATGAATGAAAATTGTGACAAGATTGAAAAATGTTTCATGCAAGTGTTAAAACCACAGAAGCCTTCTACAATTTGTGTATCCTTTCCATGAAACTGCAGCGTGCCATGAGATTCATCGTATTTCTAGGATCAGAGTCTGAAGATTTTTATTTACTGTATATCAAATGTAACTGTGGTACACACTGTATCCAGAGAGCAGAGTTGTTTCTCCATTTTCATTTAGGATCTCTGATAGGATAAATGATGATTCTTCAAAGATTTGTGAAGGGGGTTGACATTCATTATGCTGACATTTTGATTGTTGTCCACTGTCTGAAATACATGCCATTACAGTTCAACCCAGAACTTTGTCTTCTTGTCTGAGAAAAAATTTCTCATGGGAAAAAGGAATCTGGATCCAGGCTAAGGTCTACGGAAACTATATAAGCGCCTTCATTTATATTGTCACAGAGAAACGGATGCACCAAATCTTTTCCTAATATTGTATTTAACCGCCACTATAGTCTAGCGGTCAAAGTTCCTGCCTGCAGATCCAGAGGTCTGGGTTCGATTTCCGACGCTACTAAATTTTCTGATAAGTAGTGGGTCTGTAACGGGGTCCACTCAGCCTCATGATGATAATTGAGTTGCTTTTTCAAGGAAATAGCAGCCCCGGTCTAGAAAATCCAGATTAACGACCGTGGGAATCCGTTGCGCTGACCACATGACAGCCTCCATCCGCAAAAGTTGGCACTAACTTCGCAGACAAGCGACAGTCGCTCGGTCGGTGTAGTTCGCTACAGGCTTAAGAGTTTTTTATTACATACATACATACATACATATTGCGTTAGTATATCATTTATTTCACATATATTTCCGTCTTCAATACAATTTCTTATATAGTCACCCTTCCACATTACATGGTTAAGCTGTCTACGGCTATCATCAGGTGTAGTCTAGCTTGCTAAAATAGTTGCACTGCGTGTGAAAATTTCGTATCGCGTGTGAACGTGATATCTCCTGATTAAAATAAGTTGACCGTAATTAAGACAAAAATTAATTAACATCACAATAATTTCCTTATGGTCGTCGTCCTCTCTTCTCACATCGTCCCAACCGGTCTCAAATACCAACATCTTATGACAGGAGCAGTATTATTATCTTCCATTGCAGAAGATAAGTGGACAAAATTAAAAAATTCAATCATGCATTTCGTCTGACGAATATACCCACTTAAGTTGGTGTGAGTAACTACTCAAACATAAGTTTCCTCAGTGTGCGCCTGCTAATCTGGAAATCGGATGCCTGCTTGAAATTGGCGACATCTCTCGGATATTGCAGTTACATAGCAGTTGCCAGTTTCCTTGGTGTGCCCTCGCCCTTACGGGTTCGTTGTTAGCAACCAAAATTGAAATTAAACTTGAAAATGAATGCTACATCGACATTTTAAAAGAAATTAAAACTTCGAAGTCAAATCTCTCTCTCTCTCTCTCTCTCTCTCGATTCACGCTGTTCCCATAGTCTCCTACTAGGTATTGCCAGAGGATATTAACGAACTGTAGCGACTGTTCACAACATTTAAAATTCAAGTATTTATTGTAATATGAAAATACGTCGTAGTCATACTCTTAGGGTGATGACTAGGGACCGGATTTTAGTGCAAATGCATATTTCTTTCTTGCATCCAGAAAGTATGCTCGTTTGGATATATGAATGAATTGCTTCATTTCTTAAATTTTGGACATGGTTTGATGGAGCATATAAATGCATATTTTGCCTATTTTATGAATAAGCATCATATTTTCGAAGATCGCTATTTATACTGCATATTTCTTTTTTCAAAATGTTTATCATATATATTTTTCAATTTTATATTCAAATTTTCAATCATGGTCGTATGTGTACAACTTTTCTTTTCCGTATTAGAATAAGTTGCATATTTGACTCAACATTTCATCATGATTCATGTTTCTAATGCAATACTCAGCACGGGACTTCCCCGATCCCTCTACTCGTAACTTGCGTCATCTGCGTACCATCAAACTTGCCGCGAAGAGATTAGTCGGAAGCGTTCACATTTAGCCGCTATCATCGTAACACTATTCAACCGATAAGGGACTTCACTTATTTATTTCCGAAGTCTCCATGAGTTTCGTTACGCTTCTTCATTTGAAGCTGGGGGCCATTCACATTAGTGGTGACTAGTCTGTAGTTAAGTTTGTTAGCTTTCTGTAGTCATGCCGAAAGTGAAAGTAAGTCAGAAAACTAAATTACAGCTGTATCAGCGGGAGTTTGAAGGAGAGATGATAAGTACGGATAACGAAATTCTTTATTGCCGAGCGTGTGGGAAAACAGTTGGTTGTGAAAAATGCTTTCAAGTGCTTCAGCATTTGAACACTAATATACACAAAGAGAATATTAAAATTGAATCCACGAAAAGTGCTCCTGTTAAAAAATTGCTTAGTGAATTTTCTAATAATAGTTTTTCAGTTTTCCTTTGATTTATGCGAAGCCTTTTTAGCGGCAGATATTCCGCTGTGGAAATTAACCAGTCCTACTCTGAGAAACTTCAGAGAGAGGTATACACAGTGCAAAGTGCCGGATGAATCTACTGAGCTCAAAAATTACGTGAAGCAGTGTTACGATCTTACAACTGAAAGCATTAGAGATAAGATTCAAATAATTTTGTGTGGGTATCAATCGACAAAAGACAAGATTGTGAGGGACGGTTTATTGCAA